ATTTTAATCGAATCAAATGACACACATAGACGCACTGATTAATGGTATGCTAGCCGAACGATGTGACGAAGTGCTCGCGTCCAATCAGTAGGTGAGTAACGCGTTACAAGTAACGGTCTTACCGGTAACACAAAACTTTTCTTTTGGGAGCGCGTAGTGTATATATATTCGGTACAATCTCAAAGCGGTAACGGGTAACATACTTAGGTTACTTATTTCGAGTAACGGCCGGGTAACGTAGTTAGGTTACTCGTTACATATTCTTTAGAGGGCTCAAAAAATAATTCTTTAAGTTTTTTGTGTGTCTAGGCACTAAGTAATGTTATATTTTAGGTTGTGCGTTTTTGTGAGTATTTGGGTGAAACCGTAAAAAATAGACAAGGCAATTATGTTCGGTTTCTGCATAGACATAATATTTCTTAAAATAGGGCACTTATGCATACCTGTAATGTCGAAAATTGAAGAACACGCTAATTCATTATTAAACAAGTGACGCAAAAGTAACGTGCGTTATGTGGTAACGCTAAAGCGTCCCTTTTAGTTTGATGTAACGTAGGACGGTAACGCGTTCCTTTTCTTTGCAAATAAAGAGTAACGTATTTCGTGACTGTTTTTTCGGTAACGCTCACAACACTGCGTGAAATCCACGAATTGCACTCGGCTAAGATAAAGTTATAAAGCCCATATGCAGTGATGTGATTCGCCTAAGCCGTTTTGGAGCACCTTTTGGAGCAGCCAAAAGGGTGTTTTGGAGCAGCAAAATTGGCCTCTGGAGCAGCCAGAACAGTGTTTTGGAGCAGCAAAAGTGGCTTTTGGAGCAGCCAAAACAGTGTTTCGGAGCAGCAAAAGTGGCTTTTGGAGCAGATATTCTTAGAAAAATAAATATATTTTCGTTTTAAGTGCTGGACGAACGAAGGACACTTCGCTCGCCGCAATAAGCAAATTATGGTCAAGTTAGACCACCTGGGAGTCTTTCAACATGTAACTGAAATGCCAATGACATGACACATCTTGCAATGCTTTCGTTAAATTATACATATATATGTACCGTTATAGATAAAAAGGAAACAAACAGCCCATATTAAAATTTATTTGAAAATGACCAGCTTATTAGTAAATATCACAGCATTAGGTTGACTACCATAGTTATATGATATAATAAATGGAAGCTGTCTCCAACTGATGATACACGTAACTACTGCAGTGCAATGCGAAATTGTACACAAGACAAAGGTGCGTTAAGACTAGTGGGTGCTTTTCTTTTTGCCTTCCGAAAGTTTCTAGAACGCTGCTGCAAGCCTCGCTTTGCCTGTGGCTAGTAATGAATTCCCACTTTCAATGTCTCCAAAGAGACATTGAGACATCCCACAAGTGAACAGTGCTGTGGGCGTTGCCGAGCAATTCCGAAAAACCGCTTGCCACCATTTTACTGGTTCCCGACGTGCCAGATTTTCGTCAAAAGTAAGCAAACGTAAAACAATGGGTTGCAAGCGTCTCGGCTAGTGCTTCTGTCGTGCAGTCATGTTCGCATGCACATGAGGGCAACTTCGGCAGGCTTGCATTTGCACGTGCTTCGTCGCGCGAGCGGAGATGGCTGTTCGATCGAAAAAGACACCATGCCACTCCGCTCCGTCGCCAACTGGTTCCCAATATTGTACGCAAAGTGTGATTGTCCAGCATATGACAAAAAACTGTCCAGCGGCACGTGCTTGCCAGGCCGGCAGGCGAGGCACAAGCTAAACACAGAGAAAAAAAGAACCTGAGCAAGTCAGGTCAAAACGAGACATCGCGAGTCAGGGTCAAAAAGTACTTGGAGCGCTTTGTACAATGACTGAGGCACTGAAGCGTCAACACACGCCCGCGTCAATCGTTGAATTTATTTATTTATTTATTTTTTTTTAAGGCGCGATCGACGAGACACATTAACGACGAGAGCGTGAAACGAGAGGTGGCAGGAAAAACTATGCAGCCCGGATGGACGATTGATAGAGGGTACTTTTTGTTGGGCAGCCGCTTGCGCTACCTAGCTCACGCATGCTCGATTACGGCACTCAGTTTAGTATCGGTTTCGAAAGACGACCAAAATTGGTCTTTTGGCGCAGGCTTGGCGCAGATCATCCATATTTTGGCAAAATGTAGCAGGATGTAGCAGGGTTAGCCCCTTGGCGCAGTTTGGCGCAGCAATCACATCACTGCATATGGTTACCTTACCGTCACCCTCTGTTCATACACGCGTTACGACCAAGTCTTCGAAATTTTTGAAGCAGAGGAAAAAACGAGAAACCACCCAGAGTTGGAAATATTATAGCAAATATACATTTTCTGGCCTTACTTAGTCAAAATGAAGTTTCAGCTCAGGATTAAAGGCAGGGATGTGAAACGCAAGTGAGCTCCTCGTGCTACTTCGATCCTTGGCTAGCTTCCGTAGCGTTTAATTTAAGATTGTCTTAAATGAGACAGGGCTATTAGCTTTTTAGCACGTCTCCACAGGATATCTGAGAGATATGCATATCTTCTGGTCATCGAAAAATGAAGGCGGTGTAACCTTGATTCTATAAACACGTGTTGACATAAGGCATATAGATCACAGCGAAGCAAGCACGCGAGAAGAAATCTCAGCGACCCTTTACTCAACGCAGTCGTTTTTAGAGCGCATTCCTGAAAAAGGCATTAGAAGCTTTTATATTTCTACCAACCGCTTGGGGCCCCACTTGTTGGCTATGTCTGGTTAAAATATAACCAACATATTTTCTTATTTTGTCACATTTTAACTTCATCATGGGCCCTGAATTGTTGGTGCAAACTTTAATTGCTAATTCACCAACAAGAGAGACGTCCTGCCAATTTAGTTGAGTAAAAACTTAAATGGTAGCAGTGTATGCAAGGAACTGGAGTGTTTGGGGATCCATAGACGCAAACAAGGTAAAAATCGTCTGAAATATTTGAAGTGTTCTGTTTCGTTAAAACCCCGGATAAAATTACTTGGACGGTCTTTGCACCGACTAGAAAAGCACCTCAGTTCTCAAGGCTACGAAAATCTCACTGCCATTGGCAGCAGTTTCGTTTTCCGCAATATTGAGCTCCACCTTAGTGAAACACTTATTCGAATGTGTTCAGCTAAGCATAAAGATGTAAGCTGATATTATAAAAACTTACATATTCTAACTTACGGCCTGCAGGATTATCACGAGCTCGGGTGCGTTCCTTTGACAAATAATGCGAGCGTTCCTCTTTTAAATCGGGCACTATAGGACGCTAGTCCCAAGTTCACAAAGGCCAGGTCCCAAGTCTTGTGGGAAAACACGCAGGGGACACCATACAGCACGCGTGCGTACGGACGCAAGCATATGTGTAGAAACTACCTAGGCACGGTGTCACAGGTTCGGATGTTAAAGATCCCATATCAACAAACGAATTTGGAATTTGACTTGGACCGCTGTCCAGGTGTTAGGACCACACCTTGGCGATAGACATCCTGAAAGGCTGGAGGAAATTGAGAGCAAAGCATGCCGACGTTACGAACAGTATTTTATGTAAAATAATTCAAAAGTAAGGAAAGGCGCACAGGACGTACACACAGTCGAAAGAAGGAAAGAAAAAAAAAACATCAAAAGTCGAATCGAGGTTGTCATACAGTTTTGGAGGGGGAGAGCCGAGTCAGCGTTCCAAGGTGCAGGTGGAGGTCCGGTTCGTTGCGCCGCCAGTCGGGGTCGAGAAGCCATGGTGGTTTGGGTGTCGTAGTGACGCACAACACTCACAAGCACTCACACCCCTCTCCGTTGAATACCTTCTCGGTGTTCGAACAACCATACCGACGCGGATCTGCTCAGCGCCGACCATCCACACCGTCGCAACCTTGCTCCGCGGTGTGTTCCACCAAACCTCGCGCGCGCGGGCTAAGCTCGCGCTCCTGTCCTCGGCGCTCGCGCACCCCACTCACAAACACGGGATCGGACAACACCATAACCATTGAAGGGCAAAAATAGTTATTGAATTCTGTGACACACGGGAATGAAGACGGGCAGACGAATACGTAGACTGATTTTGGATTTAAAGGTGCTGTGCAACGATATTCAATTGGAATGTTTTTCTCTCTACACGAGCTTACTGGCACACCTGGGACTCAAGGATACTCACACGCAACGTCATTGGCCAAGAAACTCCTTTGTTGCGGTGTAATTTCAAGGACAAAAACGATCATTTTCATTCAATCTCTCCTTTGCAAAATTTGATGACGTAACTCGGGGATCGCAGTACACCCAAGTGACGATATTTGAATGCGGTTCATAGATTGGACCCGAGCATTGCGTGGGCACTCGACTTGGGCTCGTGACAATTGCTAGCTCGAGAAGCATTCGGGTTGTGACCCGTGTCCAATCGCTGCAACGACGACAACAGCCGAGCCATAACAATGTCTGGAACTCAGCGCGTGTCCTGCGCTTTGCCAACCCCAGCGCGTGGCTATGATCAACACTGGCGGCATATAATCGGCTCCAGATCACGTGGCCGCTTGTTCTGGCTGCGAGTTGAGGGGGTGAACGCTGCTCGTTTTTCTTAATTTTTTTCTGTGACTTCTATTGCGTGGGGTGAAAAACGAACGCGTGTTTCATAGGTCATTAACTTTAGGGATCCGTTTTAAGCGGTATTTGTGCACAGTACAAAAATTGTTGCACAGCTGCTTTAAGCTTGTTATAATTTAAAGCGGCCGAACACAAAATTTAAAAAAAAGGAAATTATTTGGCTCTTTTGCAGCACTACTGAAGGGTTTGCGTACCATGGTAGGAAAAATATCATAACAGTTCTTTTTTTTTTAACCTAGTTATCCGCTACGTTTGTTTTTATGTAAAAAGGAATGATAGGCAGCCTGTGCGATTTGAGGGAAAGATGGAGCAAGTAAATGCATTAGCTGTTTCGTATTGTCAACTTTCCAGGTTGACCTACAAACTCTCGATGTTCCACAATAAATAATATATAAAAAAGAGTTCAAAGCGCTCGCTTACCGTAACTCAATAGAGTCATTCTTCATCTTCTTCCAAGGTTTCGGGGTCATCTAGGCATAACCTGCAGAAAAAAAAAAAAAGAAAGAAAGAAAAATTGTCACCCGACTGAAATGTGTTGAAACCAACGTAGCCGAGACATAAAAAAAAAAAAAAAAGAAACGCGACAGCAAGGGGTTGCGAATACGATGCCGGAATACATTTTAAATCGTCGTCTCTCTCATTCCCTACGCTCATCACATCCTTTCGTTTTATGTTCATCGTTCTATCCTTCTACACTTAGAATTATATTCCCCGTCTTACGTCCTGTAGTACTATCTTGCATTTTTTTTTCTACGAACTCGACCGTGAAATTTTATCGTGAGTCAAACGTAACCACTTCCCCCCTCCCGCCTCTCCTGTCTCCCTGCTTACTTTTGCTATAAACGCGAGTCAATTTTCTCCTTTCGGAAATTTAATTAAGATACTCGGTGGCCTAGAGCAAATCGATCCTAGGGCTTACGAAGCAATCAGCGCACCTTTAAAGATCCGTTACGATTTTGGATGGCTCTAAATGTAAACGCTATAATTAAAAAAAAAAAAAAGAAAAGAAACGCTGAAGTGATTTTTGACTTTGGAGGTTACGACGGATATTTAAAGCGTAGCATTTCTAGGGCCAGTCTTAGCGCTTTCGTGTCCGCGGATGAAGCCTCGTCAGGGCGGGCAGCGTGCAATCGGCGACTACTCCTGGAGCGGGAACTACGAAGGCGCTCGTGCTTGCGGTTTTTCTTTTATACCACCAAAGCGGTGCGGGAGGGACGACTGCGAGAGCCGCAAGGGGAAGGGGAGAGGCAAGGGATGGGGCAGCAAAACGAGAGCGCCAGGCCCAGCCGCGACAGTATAAGCCCGTCGCCATTACGCAGCGCCGGAGCGGCAGTTTAAAGCGTCAGTTGACGGACAATCCGTCCAGTACGGTGTGCGAAAAACTGTGGTTTTCGCGTGGAGGCGAAGCGAATGTGTTCGTTTTAAATGCTGCGCATTTAGAACGGCTTTAGAAATGCCAAAGATGCCGTTTATTTTTTGTAAATGGCTCATCCTCCGAGTTGCTGATACGATAGTGCGCCGAAGACTGGATTCCTAGCGTCAGCTACTGACGGGACTGGTCCACAAATCATATAGCACTGGTGACAACGTCCCGTAGCAATGGAATTGGTTTGAAGACCGCCGTGCCAACAGAGTCAAACTCCCCGGTCGCGAATGAAGGCCAAGGCTGGTTCAGACATTTACCCCGGAATGCCAGTGATTGCATTACGACCGACCGCCTAGCTCTTCCAATGAGTTGTGAATGCGAAAGCATGAATGTCGTTGTTCCGCTCCCTCAGTTTGTTTGCAGCGTACTGGCGTGGACGGCCACATTTCGCTACTGCCGAGGTTGCGGCAGACGGCCGAGCGCGCGCTCTCATGAAGTGGCCGCACCGCGCTGAGCTCGGCCGTGCAGCCTCTCCGGAGTCTGCGCGTTTCGGCTCTGCGGCCCGCACCTCTTACCGGCGGTCGGGCCGCTGCGTGCGCTGCGCCGCCATGAAGAGGGCTTCTCTGGTAGCGTTCATTGGAACTAGGCCGCGCGAGAGCCAATGGGAGCCTCGTTCCTTGAAACTATGACGCGCGCCAGCCAATGGGAGCATATTTATCAGATTTCTGCTACAGACGACAGGCTTCAGTCTGTTGGGACAGGGGAAGGTGCCGTTTGGCGCGGCTTTAAAAGCTGATGACGTCGGTTCGCTCCGTGGGACAGTTGATGCTTTTGCATGAAAAAGACGGCCGCGCAACGCGTCGTAGTGGAACCGAAGGGTTCGCAGCGCTGTCGGTCACACACGGAAAGAAATGTTTGAACCAGCCTTTGCACTTATCAGCAGGCGTCGGCTAACGCACAGCTTACGTGCAAGCCTGCGCGTAAAGGGGTATTCACACGGGGGAGAAATTCCTTCCTTTGCTCCGCGCGCTGTGCATCACGTGGAAACAAAAGTCACGCCTTTGCGCGAGGGCGCACTGACCTCCGCGAGGGATGGGGGAGCTTCGCTCGGGCTGCACTAACGGTCCCCTCCCCGCCTCGGCGGGAGATCGCTTCTCAATTCATGGTATTTTGTTTGTGTATCTGACAACTGCATAGGTCCGTGTTCGGCCCTCGACTACGGCGTGCCCGCGCTGTCGTAAGCGCGCACCGAGCTCTGTTTGGGTCCGCTAAATTTGTCTGGTACCGCTGACATCTCTCGCCATCCGTATGAGCGCTGGAGCTGAGGAGGGAGTTCCGCTGGTTCTGCCGACCGCTTACATCACGTGCAATCCTCTCCGTGGGCCTCCCCCATGTGAATACCCCTTAAGCTGCGCGCTCGCACAACCACAAGTCAGTGCGAACTTGCATATTTCGGAAGAAGTCTAACACCGCATGTATAATAGCACTGATATTTCTTAACAAGTGCACCATCGTATTTATCTTAAGAACAGTGTGACATAATGTGCGTAATGGCTTATGAATTTACTCTTTAGATATAGTTTTGACTCGATCTTTATGTCTTTTACAAATGGAGTAAACCTGTCTTAACCAGGTAGGTAGTCTCTGATAACTGAAGATTACACTGATACCTTTAAGTTACAGACTCTGTTCGTTTGTACTTGGAGATCATAAAATGAACAGCCAACCTTTAAAACCTTTCTTATTTCTTTTGCATTTTTTAAAAACTTTTAGATGACTTTAGTGAACTCCCAATCGGGGTATTGTTCGAGCTCGGCGTAAGAACTCCCAGACAATATCATTCCCTCGGATGCGCTCCACGCATGAGCACTGAACTGGGAGCTTCATTTCGGGACCTGGGTGCATTTGACGCGCGGTTTCCTCGCTTGCTTAAGCAGCGATCGCTCGCTGCTTAAGCAGCATGCGATCCCGACGTCAGAAGTGCTTTTACCTCTCTCTGGACGATTACCTTTCGTTAAGGATAGAATTATCTACACTTTCTCGCTTAGCACGAATACTGACTATCGTTTCCATCATCTTCAGCACGTCTGAAAAAAACTGACATACGAAAAAAGAAAAAAAAGAAATATGCAACAAGCAGGATCAGGATTTACGCAGGGGCTGTTGAAAATTTCCGCTCACGTACTCGGTGCCCTCAGCGTGGGCATTGATTTCTGAGTAAAACGCCTTAAGCAAAATGACCCCTTTTAACAGTCAGATTTCCTAGAAAACCAGGAACACGATAAGGGGTTGATTGAACATACCTATGGAATCTGAAGTAGAACCTTTGCGCACTAATTGATAAATGACAAAAATGATAAGACCTCAGCCGATAGTCTCTTAAGAGTTTGTGCTTTTGGAAGTACATTATTTGGAGTTCGCGTTTTTTTTTTTTTTTTTTTTTTTTGTTCATACGTTTAGTTGGCCTTATTGCCGTGTCTCGTCGATTCCCCGGTGATATATTCGAGTGCAAAGACGTAGTTTTTTTTTTCAGCAAATGCTAAGAATTATTTCAAGTTCAGTGTGATTGCGGCCTAAAAAGCGCGGACCCGTAAATAACGTGACGGCTCTCCTGCAGATCTCTGTCAACAGGTTGGTCACGTGAGCCCTCTCCGCGAAGAAGAGGGAGCTTACGCTAAAGAGAAAGAACGTTAAACACTGCTCCATTATAGCATAAGCACTATGCAATAGTGATTCTCGCAAGTATACAATGCCCATTGAGGAATGCGGTTTCGTTCAGTTTGCCTTTAAAGGGACACTGACAGGGTATTTATGCTCGCCGAGGTTTTTAGTTGTACGTGACATATGAGAGCTCAACTACCCAGAACAGAATTTGCGGCTCGAAATTCGGTTTCTTTCCGCCCGAAAACCGCCGATCAAGAACTGGCCGGTTCGAGTCTCGCTCACTCTCTTTTCCGCGGTCACGGGCCGTTTTCTAAGGTATCGATGCGACCACCAAATTTAATCAAAGTCGTGGGTCACTGAAGGCACACACTCAATATTAAAAATAGAAAAAAATATGAAACCCATTTTTTGTGGCTTCTAAAAAGCTGCAAATACGTTGATTGAAAAAAAGGTTCCACAGACAACCGGAAGCAATCTGTGCGTGCGTCGTTTCGCGTATCGTTGGACTCGCAGGGACGACGATGGCAGCGGACGACGGGCGTGGGACCTCTATTTCAGAACTGTCGTTCGCGGTACCGGCGAATTTTGTCTGCCTTTAAAAGAGAAATTTGGGACTGATCAAAAGAACTGGTATTCATCCCGTACGACACGCCCGATCACCAAGCCGATTTGCACGAAGACCTCGCCGAGCCGTCGCTCCCTTCTCGTGGCTGAAGACATCGCTCGCGCAAACGTCAAGCACGACGTGTCTACTTCGAGTTGAGTATGCACGCGTACGATTTCTTTACTACGTGAGAATGTCGCCTATGCGCGGTGCATCCCGACTTCGACCCGGGAGTGCTTTTGCTAGAGGAAAATCGGCAGGAAACTTTCCAACTTACAGTTTATCGGCTGAATTATTACTAAGGAAAGAGATTCCCCAATTTCGGTATGTCCCAGTAGCTCAGTGGGAAAGACGTCCGCTTCTCACGCGGTAGGACCGGGTTCGATCCACCGTGAAACCTTTTTTTTTTTCTTTTTTTTTAAATATTTTTGATGTCTACATTTCTTTTTCTTTTTAAACAATTATCACTGAAGAAACAAATGTTGTGGACGACACGTCGCTGAATTAAATGGTACGGGATTTCCTTTTCGACACCTGCGAACTCAATGTAATCACTTTCCACAAAATGCAAGGAGCATATAAATCAGGTAACGTCCGCTTTCCGAGGTGCCCGTAAATGGTCTACAGGAATTGCAGTCAGCCATTGGTCCCGATCCCTTTGATCTTTCGGAAACTGTCGCACAATGCCACTTCTGTTTCGGACGCAGGGCATGTGAGCCAGCTCTTCACGCAACATCTTGGGTGTATTCTTTTCGAAGCCGATCAAAATTCACCACGGGCACTCACTACTCATCTCCAACTTTTCAATGTACAAAACAACTCATCTTGGAGTACAGAACAACGAGCG